GAGAGAGAGAGAGAATGCATGTACGCAGGCAAGGAAGAGGAAGAGAAAGAGGGAGACAGAGGATCCAAAGTAGGCTCTACACTGACAACAGAGAGCCCCATGTGGGGCTTGAACTCATGAACCATGAGATCATGACCTTAGCCAAAGTCAGATACTTAACCGACTTAGCCACATGCCCTGGGAAAAAATCTATTAGAGTTACTAGAGTTCTAGCTACCTGCCTGTTGACTCCAAGAATATTAGGTCTATATATAAATGGTCTTCTCAGTCATTTCCTCCTGACCCTCATGACTATAGAGATTTCAGATATGCAGTTCCTGGGTATTTTATACCAATTGCTATCAATCAGGGGCTGCTCTCTCTCTAACCAAAAAGAAATGGACCTAGGTACATTGTGTGTTTTGAGCTCTTTGACAAGAGAACTTACTGAGAATTTATTCAGAGTTGGTTACTACTGTACTCTTTATTTTAAAAAAATAATTTATTAGTTAAAATGTTAAATAAACTTCTTTATTTTCCATTTCCAGTCAGTTCTTCTAAAAAAGAAGCTTGAAGAACATCTGTAAGTATAAAAGCTGTTGAGTCTCATTATCCTATTTTCTAGTGAAATAGAAGTATTTTGTTAGATGGTTACGGAGTGTCTAGGCCATGGCACAGGTGGCCCCTGAAGATAAGGGAAATTATAAGACATGTTAATAGTGTCTAAAGGGTCATCTCAACCCAAGGTCCTTAAAGCAATTACTGCTTTAGAACTGTTTTCTCAAATAAGATTCCTGGGTTTTACATCTTTGTGATAGTATTTATAACTAACTATAGTGAGGAGTTTTAGACAGTCTAGATCAGGAGGCAGAAACCTTTTTCTGTAAAGGGCCAGAGAGCTTTTGCAAGCCATGGTCTGTGCCACAACCACTTAGCTCTGTAATCTGAAAGCAGCCATAGACTGACTATAAACTGATGTGACTATTCCAATAAAACTTTATACTAAAACAGGCAGCAGGCTGAATTTGGCCCACAGACTGTAGTTTGCCAGCCCTAGAGTATAGCCAGCTGAATCTTTCTTTTGAAGTAAAGTTTTAAAGTAGTACAAAGCTATCAGTAGCAGATTTGCAAACATATCCTTCAATTGCAAATACATCTGAAAATGACTTTTTAATCTAAAGATGAAATAAATTTTTTCAAAAATTTTTTGTTTATTTATTTATTTTGAGAGAGAGCCAGCGAGCAGGGGAGGGACAGAGAGAGAGGAAGAGAGAGAATCCCAAGCAGGCTCTGCACTGTCAGCGCAGAGCACGATGTGGGGCTTGAACTCACAAACCGTGATATCATAACCTGAGCTGAAATGAAGAATTGGAAGTGTAACCATCTGAGCCACCCAGGCACCTCCAATTTTTTTTTTAACATGAGAAAAGTGAGATAATCCTAGCAATGGACACTTGCTGGCAAGTCTAACAATGGGCAGATTCTTAATGTACTAGTAGACAGAAAATGGTACCTTCTAGCCCTTGTGAGGTTACCTAGAGCCTGAATTCTGTCCTTTTCTTATTCCCATTTCTTTATTGCAAAAAAAGTGGAGTACCTGTTGTTTCATAAAACTGACCATTGTTCTGTGTTCATTTACATGGTAAATATCTTCATCTAAAAGAATTTGTTAGTGATAATGAGGCCTATGTTAGTTTCCTGTGGCTGCCACAACAAATTACTACAGCCTGGGTGGCTAAAAAAAGCAGAAATTTATCCTCTACCAATTCTTAAGACTAGAAGTCTAAAATCAAGGAAGTGATTCCTTCTGGAGGTTTTAAGAGAGAATCTGTTCCATACCCCTCTTCATGATGGCTGCTAGCAGTCCTTTGTGTTCTCTGGCATATAGACACATCATTCTATCTCCGTCTTCACATGGCGTTCTTCTCTCTGTCTGTTTTATCTTCACATGGCCTTCTAATAAGGACATCAGTCATTGGATTTAGGGCCCACCCTGATTCATTATGACCTCATCTTAACTAATTGTATCTGCAAAGATGGTATTTTCAAATGATGTTACATTCACAGGTACTGGGAGTTAAGACTTCACTATATCTTTTTTGGGAGATACAATTCATTCCACAACAGGGTCCATAGACATTTCAAATGGTCATTCTCATGCACATTTATACCTGCAATGGAGGCTGATTTACACATACCAAGTTGGTAAAATTTAAAAGTCCGACATACTAAGAATTGCCAAAGCTGTTGGGTAATGGTAGTTCTAATCCACTGATGGTAGGACTATACATTGATTTACTTAGTAAACTGAACATGCACCTATCCTGTGACCCATCAGTTCTGCTCCCTGTATAAGCCCTAGATTCCTAGAAATGCTGTTACCATCTATCAGGAAACATGTAGAAGAACGTAAGAAAGTACGTTGTAATCATAGAAAAGTAGAAACAATACAAATGCCACCAATTGTAAAATGATAGAATGAAGTATATTCAAACAGTGTGGTAAAATATGTAACTTAGGGCCAACACACCAACATACATGAATCTTGAGAGCACGGTGTTAAAGATGGAAGTCCCAAGAGCAATACATACAGTATAATGTATAAAGTAAAATCGGGCAAAATTCAGCAGTATATTGTTCAGGAATGCACACAAAGTCTTACACAAAAATCAGGAGAAAGGTGAAAATTCTGGGCTTGGGTTCCCTAAGGTTCTGTGATAATTTGTCTCATAACCTGTTTCTTTACTAGGTTAAATTTTCTTATTCTTTAAACTATATATTTATTATTTATCTAGATATATCACATTCTCAAAGAATTTGTTTAAAAGATACTAATTTATTGAAGTATTATACGTAGGAAAAAACAGGAATAGACTTAACATAGTGCTGTTTTCTTCTTAGCTTTTTTTCCCTGTGTTTTCCAATTTGTGCAGCCTTTTTTCCCCTTTCATAAAGTGCCAGAATTATGCATATTATATAACTACCAGGAAGAAACTTTCTGTTCACTTTTTACTTTTGTTTTGGAATATAACTTACATAAAGTACACAAGTTCTAAGTTCCTAAGTCTAGAGCTTGATGAATGTTTTCCTACAATATAAAGGTAACCCAAATCAACATGTAGAATACTTCCAGCAACTCCCCGGACTCTTCATTTTCCCGTCTAATTGATTCCATCCGCAAACTAGCCACTATGCTGCTCTCTTATCACCTTTCATTAGTTTTGACACTTTCTGAACTTCATGTAAAAGGAATCCTACAGGGGCTCCTGGGTGGCTCAGTTGGTTAAGCATCCAACTTTGGCTCAGGTTATGATCTTGTGGTTCACAAATTTGAGCCCTGCTTCGGGCTCTGTGCTGACAGCTCAGAGCCTGGAGTCTGCTTCAGATTCTGTGTCTCCCTCTCTCTCTGCCCCTCTCCGGCTCTCTGTCTGTCTCTCTCTCTCAAAAATAAACATTAAAAAAAAAAGGATCCTACAGCACTACCCTTTGTATCTGACTTACTATGGTCACCATTATTCTGTGGAATCTATCCTGGTGGGTGCATGTATCATTAATTCTTTTTTATTGGAGGATTGTGTTCTTTCTGTTTATTTTTATTTTTAGAACTTTACTTTTTAGAATAAGATTTTGCATTGTAAAACCTCTGTAAAGTTTTAAATTAATTTTTATAATATACGTACTCCTAGAAGATGAAGATCACTAAATTCTTTGTACCTTCTTGTGCATGTTTCTGTAAAAGAAATGATAACTTTCAAAGTCTGAGATTTTTGTCTCTATTTTTTTTGCCTATTTTGTGTGTGTGTTTTAATTCATGTTGGATTATGCTTTTTATCCTTTTTTGTTTCATAGCACTTGTGTGCTATGCAAGTGTATCCCAAGAATAAAGAACTTAAATCTTTCAAGTGGAGAAAAACACGAACCAGTAGTAGGTGACAATGTGTTATATATTTTGTTGCAGGGAGAAGCTGCATGAAGCCAATAATGAATTGCAGAAGAAGAGAGCCATTATTGAAGATCTTGAGCCACGATTTAATAACAGCTGTGAGTTTTTCCTAATTAGCATAGTTGTTTTTAATTGAAGTATAGTTGACATATTACCAATTAGCATAGTTTTAAATTCATTAGCCGGGCATTACCCTAGTAATAAGTTTATATAAAATTCTTTCAGAAATAGGTCCTGTTACATATCCTAGCAATTAAAAAATTTGTTTTATTTACAGAGTATATAATCATCTTCAGATTATTTGTGATTATACTTTTGAGTTTTTCCTTAACTATGGATGCTAATGAATATTTTGTGAAATTAGCTATTTTCATAGTAAAGTTGCATGTAAGTCAGCCAGATTTTGACTGCTTTTGATATTTACACATGTAGGTAGCCTATTAATTCTTTTGTGTGCAGCAGGACACAGACTTTTTTTTCCCCACTGTGGTAAAATCTACATCACATAAAAAAAAATGACCAATTTAACTTTTCTTAATTATATAGTTCAGTGACATTAAGTACATTCACATTGTTGTGCAACCAATATTTCCAGAACTTTTTCATCCTCCCAAACTGAAACTTTGTGCCCATTAAACACTAATCCCCATCTGTAGCCTTAAAAATTGAAGAACTGCAAGAAGCTTTACGAAAGAAAGAAGAGGAAATGAAACAAATGGAAGAACGATATAAAAAATACTTAGAGAAAGCCAAAAGTGTAAGTATGAGTTTCTGGGCATCTCACTCCACTTTCTTCTTCTTTTTTTTTAAGTGTTTATTCTTTCTTTATTTTCTTACTGTTTATTTTTGAGAGAGAGATAGAGTGTGACTGGTGGAGGGGCAGAGAGAGACAGGGAGACACAGAATTCCAAGCAGGCTCCAGGCTCCAGGCTCCAGGCTCTAGGCTCTGAGCTGTCAGCACAGAGCCTGATGTGGAGCTCGAACCCAAGAACCACAAGATCATGACCGGAGCCACAGTTGGACGCTTAACCGACTGAGCCACCCAGGGGCCCCATAAATATTTTTGAGAGAACAAGAAAGAGTGAGTGGGGGAAGGGCAGAGAGAGAGAGAGAGACAGAAGATCCAAAGCAGCTCTATGCTGACAGCAGCGAGCTCATTGTGGGGCCTGAACCCACGAACCACAAGATCATGACCCAAGCCAAAGTTGGACGTTCAACCGACTGAGCCACCCAGGTGCCCCTCCACTTTCTAATCATGTTTCACTGGTCATCCAGTTTAGTGCATATACAGTGACTTCTCATGCCGAGAGCTATCAGAAGAACAAAAGAACCTTTGACAAAGAAAAAGCATGAGGAAGAAGCAGTGATCAAAATAGATCACCCCACAGAATAGTTATTAATTACCAAGAGGAAAATGTTCCTTTATGTAGAAAATAAGTGGCAGTCACCTCCTTAAGTAGTAATCAAAATTAGCTACACTAATGGTAGGACAGCCAACATCTTATGCCTCCTGATGGAGTATCATTGTCATAATATTTAACTTGAAGCTAAGCAACCTATTAAACCTAACTCAGTTCCCAGGGAAAATGAGTTTATTGGAACAAATTAAATAACACCTTCAGGAAATCATCAGATAAATCAAGAACTGGGGATAAAAGTTAATGTTACAAAAAACAAAAATAGGCATTTGAGTATGGGGGAGGACAAGAGGCTGTTCTAATTTAAAAGAGCCCAAAGGGATCTAAGTACCAAATGTAATGCGTTGATCTTTGAGTCCTATATTGGTGGTGGAAGGAGCAGTTATAAAAGACATTTTGGAGACACTTGTGGAAATGTGGATTTGGAACCCATAGTGATGACTTCTAGAATTGTTCATTTTCTTACAGGTGATGATGATCTTGTGATTATGTAAGAGAATATCCTTAGTCTAAGAAGTATTAAAGAAAGGGTTACATGTCATGAGGTCTGCAGATTATTTTATTCTGTTTTTTTTTTTTTATTTTATTTTAGAGACAGAGAATCTTAAGCAGGATCAATACTCAGCACAGAGCTGACACAGGGGTTGACAC